TTTTTTTTTTTTTTTTTTTTTTTTTTTTTTTCGGGAGGGGGCGGGGGGTTTAATCCCTTCCTTTTTGCCGACTGAAATTGAACGGAAGAAAAAGAGAGAAGGAAATTACCAGGAAATGAGGAAGGGCTCGTCCAAGCTGTTGAAGACATTGATGATGAGGTTGTCATTGGTGACGCAGTGGATGTCAGGGCCAGGGAATTGGCCATTGATGAGTATTCCCTGGAGAAGAAGAGATGAGAACAAAGAAAACTAAGAAAGAGAAGATGCAAAAATAGTTGAAGGAAGAGAAGAAGGAAGCGAACCTGCTGGCGAACGCCGAGAGGGTAAATGTTGCCGTAGGAGACATTCCAGGTGAAGAAGCGGTAGGGATTTTCAGCGGAGACGGTGGGGGAGAAGAAGAAGAGGAATGCACAGAGTGCAAAGCAGGGGGAAGTTAGAGGAAGCATTTTGGGATTGGAATATGGAAGAGGGGGAAAGAGATGGAGTTGTTGAAGGTGATGGGGGAGTATTTAAAGTGCCATACAGGAAGAGGAACATGAGTCTTAGCCGCAAAAGAAAGAATAAATGAAACTTTTTCAAAAATAAATAAATTAAGGAGGGAAAATACAAATACAATTAGAGAGAGTGAGAGAGAAGAAGAAGAGTGTGGAGTGTCGGTGAGGGGTCCCACATATACATTTATATAATGAATTTTGCATGTATGTCTCTCACATGGCTTGGTTTTGAAGGCTGAAATAGCATGTGGCGACTGCTGGCTGAATTCCCGATTGAATGACCTCAAACTTTACTTCCCAGTCTAATACATCCTTACATATCCTAACTACTAGAAAGAAGTTTCCACGAATAATGAGTATCTCACTATCAAAGATTAGAACTTTAAATTTAAAAACCAATCCATAGGATACAACTTTAAATATTTATATGAGATTTCTAAAATCAATTACTTTGATTAAAAGAATAAATTCATTCAATATAATCCAGAACTTCACAGTAACAAAACTCAAATAACTTAGTTTTGGGAGGGTATTTTAACCTCCGGACTAATTATAAATTCACATAAAGAAACAAGCCGAAGATAAGGGCAAATCGTTGCAGCAATTAGCCAACAAAAAGATTATTTTCAGCATAAAGAGGCCACCAAAAGCAATATAATGGGAAAGGAAAGGGTCTGTTCTGAGAATTAAAAAGAAAAAAAAGGGAAACGTCAAATCCATGATTTGAAAACGTTCCGCAAGAGGCGCTAAAACCATGCCCTAATAAGTTCAAATCATCACTGCAAACAACGCCTGACCCACAGACAGCTGCCAACCTCCACTTTTGCTGCATGTGGACTCGACATTATTGAAACCATACCATATAATAACGCAATCGAATAAACCAAAACGCCAAGCCAAGCAACCTGATACCCCTAATCGCGGCAAACTTGCAGACCCTGTAGCATTGCGACAGTGTGTTGAGTTAACGCGCAATTGGATTTTTAAACTAAAGGAGGGCTCCTCCCAAGTTATTTTCAAATCAAATGCTCATTACGTCCTTAAATCATTTCAAATCAAGGTTTGGATTCTCTGACAACGACCCTCTTCTCAAGATAAAGAACGGAATAAACAAATGATCGGAAAAAAAAGTTCACCATTGGCTTACAATTTTGATGCCCAATCCCAGAAATGCCAGCACACTTCACTTGACCAGGCAGGTCAACCATAAAAAAATATAAGCAACTAGTTTGGGATTAGAATCCCCCAAATACTAAGAAGTATGATCAATGCTTTTGATGAGCTCTAGAAAATGAGTACAGAAAAAAGAAGGCCAAGCAAGATCGTTAAATAGCGCTATGGAGTTTAGGGATGAATGTAGTGGTATTTAATCTACACAGTAATGCTCAGAATTCAATCAGCTGTATGGTAAATAAGTTTGTTGAAGTAGCTTCACTCATGACCTTATGATGCCATCCACCACCTTGAGAGGATCATTTGAAAGTATTGCATCCCTCTTATTGGGTACACCCAATCAATTCATACGTGATGCTCCTAAGTTCAATCAATTGATCATGAGAAACCTTTTCGGTGAATTAGTTCATATGTCCTACGTCAAAGGGTACTGTCTTCGTACTTCACAGTCCGCGTTCAAAGTCCTGTAGCGTGCACTATAGGAGGAGGATAATGATGCAGACATCACTAGAACTGTGGGCACAAAGCAAACTCTCTCCATCTAACAGCGACTTACAAAAGACTCAGAACATCTATTCTACCCTATACATGTTAGTTTTAGGACCGTCCCATGTAAAGATAAATCTCTAAGAACTATCCATCACTTGAATATGAAAAGTGGGCCCTTGGACGTTTTTCCTCTGGCTCGTAGGGGGGCACACTAGGTTTTATAAGCAATGCCTTTGAAGACATGGGTCCAAGTCCAAACAGCTCTTCTATCAGAGCTTACAGTGTTCTTGGGAGAATGGATTCATTTATCCGACATCACAATAGCACAACATAAGCTTTGTAGTATGCTTGTGCCAGAAATTACACAATCAGGAGCTTTAACATTAGTCGACACATATCATAGTTGAAGGTAAAGGAACTAGATGTTTCACGATCCAATCCTGGCAACTATCAGACCTCCAGGATTTCTTCCTGAAAAACGTACAGAGTAATTTTCATCTCTCGATATCTCTATATGAGAAGATCAACATTATCTCACAGCACCATAGAAATCATGAATCAGCGTGGAAGAATAATTTCCTACAGGTAGTCTGATGAAAGTTTCCAAAAACGTCCATACTAATTTTAAGTTTTCATCTACGCTTTTTCAGCGTATTTTTACAGAGCTCGAAGCTTTGAGGCATAATCACCCCATTCACCATACCATTTCGATCTACTCCTTGGCGGTAAGAATGATGACACACTATAAATCAGCAGCCCGAAAGGGGCAGAGTGTATGAGAGAGGAACCATCATTAAAACCCTAAATCACTAGGGTTTTGTATTTGCTTGAAACAGTAAATTCAACCATCCAATTCAGAATAACCAAAAATCAACAAAACAAAAAAAATACTCAATCAAAGATTAAATTGACCTCTTTATTACCAAAATAAAAAGAAAGGCGCTGCCAAGCATTCTGGAAGGCTACAAACCAAAACAAGAAAATGCAGGGGAAATTTCAAAATCGAGTGAGTTGAGTACACAAGCATGAAGGAAGTAAAATAACGACCGAGACTACAAACTCACAGATTGAAGACTTAAAGCAGTCAGTCTTCTTGGCTGAAGAGAAGGCGAAGCCTGGATGCGAAGAGGCCAGTGGAGTCAAGGGATGCCTCGTGAAGGAGGCTGCGCTTGATGTTCTTCATACGGTCCATTAGGGTTTCCTGTTCTTGTTTGAGAGCCGTAGTGTCCTCTTGAAGGTCGTGGATACGGTACTTCTGACCCAAGGATCGGACGCTTAGAAGCAAAATACCAGTCATGGCGAAGAACTGAATGAAGCTATCCTTGCGTTTTAGTGCATTGGCGAATAAACTGAGTGGCTTTTTGGGCATTTGAAATTCAGGGGCTGAGCTAGACGGAGATGAAGGCGCCATGGGAAGAAGACTGAAACCGCGAAAAACCCCCCCAAAACGAAGGCAGACGATTAGGCTGAATAATTCTCTCGCGGTCGTAGAACCAAATGGCGAAGAAGTACAATCGTCTACGGGTGACAACATTGCTTCGATAATCTTACATCCAATTACAGCGCGCCACGTCTTTCATATAAGAGAACCGGTGCTCTCTAAATTTTTTAAAAGAACGTTGAAACCACAAATTCAATATTCCAACTATTATTTGTTTACTACTTTGAAGAGAGATCAAGTAGGCGAGATCCAAGTCTACAAGAACCCGCCTCAAATGGGAAGTACAAATGTCTATCTTATTTCAAGCTGCGGGAACCCGCACAATTAGGAGAGGATTCCCTGATGGAGAATGGGAAAGAGTGGAAACATTTTTTTAGTTGGGACGAACTTAATACAAAAATATGTTTTATGTATGTATTAAAATAATAATTATGGTATTAAAATAGAAATGAATGGTGAATAATAATATGAAAGAATAAAAATAAAATAATTGGAATGGTATTTTACAGCCTAAGGAGTCTAGAATTAAAGCATTATAAAATAAATTATAAGATAACAGGCCTTTAGGAGCATCATCCGTTTGTAAAGAGAATACACATGGAAGAAAAAAGGGAAAAAAAAAATATATATTAATAAACTTGAGAGAGCTAATAATAATAAATAGAAATATATATCAAATCCCCCATTGACAAAGCTGCCAGAAATGTATTAATTTTGGTGTTCTGAAGTGGTTTGTAAGCGTCGGTTTATATCACTTGATAACATCTCTAAATATTCCTACAAAAAAATTGACAGCAAACAAACACCTCAAAATCCATAAAATGAGAAGTTAAAAAGAAAGATATTAGTACCTGAGCAAGTGTGTCGTGGCTGCACAACTCATTAGCAATATCTTCACTACTACTCCCAGAAATTTGAGCTGAGCTCTCTACCACAGCGCGAAACACATCCATTGGGGAATGGCTACAAATAACCCTTCGACCAACATCTTGGATGTCAATCTATATTATATGTAAAAATAATGAAGCGAATCATATGAACTGAATTGAAACTTAATTTGAATTACATATGTTATGCAAAGAAAAGCAAAACTTACGGTTGATTGTTCCAAACGGAGCGCCAAGATTGAAGTGCCAAGGTCGAGAAGAAGTGCTCCAAATTGTTGCATCCTAAGACCTACTTGTACTAACTCCTCTTGTATTTGACCCCTCACCGTGGGGTCAGTGGAAGAGCCTTCTTCCTCGAATCGCTCGGCAATGCGCTGCATATTTATCCATTATTAAATTAAGAAATTTAGGGAGAAAAAAGAATAAATAGAGTACTTACAGGGAGTGAGGATGTGGCATAATCACCGAGGAGTTGCTGTGCATTTCGCAAGACAACACCCAGAGATTTAGTGGTTTGCAGTTGTTGAGGATTGGTGGGGAGTTCGAACCCTTGGAGACTTCCTAAGTTGTTTGAAAATGAAAGAAAAATGTTAAAGATGGTTGGTTGGTTGAATTGAAAAATACGTTTATGCAAAAGAAATCAATCAAATCCAAACAATACCACCATTTTTGGAAATTGCGCGCTCGAAACGGTTCATGAACTCCAGGATTGTTGGAGAAAGGAGGAGGAGGAGGAGGGGGAGGAAAGGGCTAATGAGAGTAGGCGTTCATCCTTTGGGACTTTTTGGGTTGAAGATCAAAGCATGTATGAATATTTGGGCGTTTCAATAATGGAATTTTGGCTCACAATTCTGTGCTTCATTTCTACATCTCTCTCTCTCACACCTCTGTCTTCCAATGGATTCTCCGAATAAACAGCTTTCTAATCCTGGCTAACAAAACACACAAAATTAGTCTTTCTTTTTTTATTTCGATATATTCAGCTCAAAAAACGTATTACTCTCCACGTGTTAATATTTTACGGGACCAATATTTCTACCATAAGCCTCACAACCAATCGCATTCCGCCACGTCTTTAAGTGTACGGAAATGTAGTTTTTGAACCGAATAATAATAATTTATAGAAAGCCTTTCCACCACCCCGGCCCTTTGAATACGGATTACGACCAACATTGGGAGTTGTTTGTTAACCTTATATTAAACACTCGTGAATTCCTAAATTGATGTTCCTTTTCGTATTAATTAACTAAAAGATTATTTCTCTAAATAATTGTTTTAAGAAAAATTAAATAGTTTTCAATTTTGGTTCAAACTCCCCAAAGAACAAAATTAATTTTGTAGCTTTGATTTATTAATCTTTTACTAAACATCCAAACTCTATTCTTATTATTCTTATTATTTTAATCTATAATATATGGTTTGACTAATTGAGTTATGTTTTGTTGACAATATGTTTAGTCGATTGTTGTAGAAATCATAAGCTTGTATTGGTTTTATAAATAGTACTCTGAGATGATCAGTTTATTTCTTGGTTGTTGTTAGCCTCGAGTAATTTAAAAAACGAACTCAATATGCACAATTCATTGAACTGTAACCATAATGTTCAAGGTAAAACAAAGGAAAGTTTCCTGAATTATGAAGAATAAGTTTGTTTGGTCCAAGTATAAATGTGTTCTTTTAGTCCCTAGGAGGAACTGGCTGTTTTCGTTCTTTTTTGAGTTTGAACATGAATTGGTGAATTTGGCCGTGGCTTAGATTCGAAACCGCTATTACCCACAAAGTTTAAGGCTAACAGGGTCAATGGAAACTGATGGTCGGGGTAAAACCTTATATTTGGAGATCTTTTCATTAAAATTAGAAAGCGTACATGAAATCATCTTTCGTTCAAAACATGATAAAACAAAATCGCGCAAACAAAAATCTACATCGACGGACGAGTCATTCAACAGGCCCCGGGGATTTCAGCGCATTCAAGAAAAAGAGGAATCAATCAACCAGAACATAAGGATGTTTTGTTTTGCAATTCTTTGATATCATCCAGTCGACATCTAGAGAGTAGCACCAATAAAACAATATGAAATTTCATAATGATCTTAAAAGGGTTTCGTAAATATGTTGTCATATAAACACAAAAAAGAAAAAAAAAAGGAAAAAAAAAAGAAGAGAGTATTTTACAGGCTAGAAATCCTACAAGGAAAGCCAAAACATGATAAAAAGAGGTGGTAAACACATAAGTTACTTTGAGGCATTATCATCTGTCTAATAGAGAATAACGTACATGGAAAAAAGATAAAGAAAAGGCCGGAGAAGCATTTTATACCAGAAAATAACTTGAGAAAGCCAATGTCACATTTCCAGTCCACCCCACGAGAATCTATAATAATTCCTTTCCACATATCTATTATTTTTCCTGGTCTGAATTGCCTTGTAACCGTCGGTTTACATCACTTGATAACATCTCCACATATTCCTACAGAAATTCACAGGGGATCCTATGAGAACTCAGTGTACAGTTTCTTAAATTCAACAGCAATCATCAAATTTAATGGGAATACAAGAACAAATGCCATGTAAGAATAGTATTATTAACCTTAGCAAGTGTCTCATCGCTGCACAACTCATTTGCAATATCCTCGCTACTACTGCCAGAAAGTCGAGCTGAACTCTCAACGACAGCACGGAAGACGTCTCTTGGCGAATTGGTAGATATGATCCTTCGAGCAACATCTTGGGCATCAATCTTAAAAACAGGAAATAATTAGTTAAAGCTATCATTTTTATCCTACTTATTGGGTTAATGCATTCTCTACAAGCAAAGACAACAATAAATCACAGAATTTCGATCAGATCATATAAAAATAAGATGAAGTATAGGCTACATGAAAATCGCAGCATTAAGTAAAATAATCATACAGTTATAGCATAACAATAAAATAAACATGTTAGACGAACCTGAGAATTTTGGCCATTAGATGTTTCCACTCCACTACCAGACCTCTCACTATGAGGCATTTGCTCGCTTTCCAGGTTTGACGAAGGTGGTTGCCTCGGCGATCGTTGCACGTTTGAGGAAGATGGTTGCCTTGGCGATCCTCCAAGCACTTGAGAGACAATAGGCATCATCTGTTGGAACATCCTTGACAAATCGATACCACCGCCTTGGCCTCTTCCCGACCCAGCAAACATTTGCTCAAGGTCTTGAGGGTCAACCTGCTGGGCAATTTGATTGACTGTGTTTCTCATTTGAGGGCTTTGCGTGATCTGTTGCAACATGTTCCTCAAGACATCAGGAGAGCCAGCGCCAGTTTGCTCTGAAAGCCCTGTCAATAGTCCATTTAAAGCAGGGCTCTGCAAAACTTGAGACATACTGCTTCCTAGATCAATTTGGCTGTTAGAACCTGGCCCATGCAAGGATCTGCTATGAACAGTTGGGCTAGCGGTCTGTTGTAGGCTTGAGGGATCATAAGCATTTGACCTATTCATAGAAGCACTAGAGGCAAGAGACTGTAAGAACTGCTGGCCTGTATGACCCTGGCTGTGGCTGGTTCCACTGCTACCCCCTTTAGCCTGCTTGCCTCTCCTCTAATGAACCAATACCAAAAGGAGGAAATAATTAAGAAAGAAGAAGAAATGAAGAAGTAAGAGAATCAAAGAGAATTTTGAATTAAACTCCAATATAACAAGATTTTACCCACGGTAGATATGAAAATCTCATCTCAATATATTCGATGCACTATAATGCTTCTACGATGAGCATCATCAACACCAACCATAAAAGGATAGAGCACAATAGTGTTCTCCTATGGACTAAAACAATTGAAGCACAAGTCCAAGTGCACCCCTTGCCAATAGGCAAAATGAGTATAGTTCAACAATAGGCCACCGAACAGAAACCTAATAATTACAACTAACATGAAAGATTATCGAAATTGAAAAACTAAATAGCTTCATCTTACCGGTCGTTCCAAACCCCCCAGTCCAAGGCCAAGTGGAACAGCTTGAGAAGACCCAGTTCCCGTGCTCTTCTCACAAGATGCCTGACTCTGAAAATTTTCTTCATTTCTTCCAACAAATTCAGAGCCCTTACTACCAGAGCATGTTGGTAAATCAGGTGTGCTTATAGACCTTCCTGTATCTCGATAAATATTGTCTGTGACGATCTGTGGTTGGTTAAAACTAGATTTAGCATTTTATCCAATATGAGAACAATCCATATAAAACCAAATATGTACCTTGTCATTTCCAGTTTCCGAATCACACCCAGGTAATGACTCACTCGACTCTCCACCCATGTCCCTTTTAGTATCACTTTGCTGTTCACTCCCTTGTCCAGAACCAATAGAAGAATTCTGAACTGCCGTTCGCACTTGATCTGAATACAAGATGTTCAATATAAGTGAAATGCAATGTACCCCGGTGATCAAACAAGTAGTCCACCTGATTTAGTAGGGCTACCACTTCCGACACTACCGACTAAATCTCTAATTCATGAATTTACATCAGCAATAATGGAGGATAACAAAACAGAGTCAAGCGAAGGCTGGGAAGAAGAAACACCTTCACCAGGTTGCACAGCAGCAGAAATCGAAAGACCCAGCGGATGTGGAATGTTGACAACAGGAGGTGCCTGGGCTACACCTGAATCCGTGGATCCACTGACCACATTCTGACGATCTGCAGGTGCTCCCTCCCCATTATTTGACCTGGTACCAACTGCAGAAAGAGTGACAGAACTTAGGAAAGCACATTGCATTACATGAAAATAACACAGCATCAAAACGCCTATCATCCTCACCAGCATGTATGTGAATGTTGATGTGTCTAGGGGCAGTTCCAATACCTACTGCACCAACAACTGGGTTTGATGGTAGTACAGCACCACCAAGGAGGGGGTTGGTTTGAAGGGGAAAAGGCTGCAAAAGGAGAAAATGTGATGATTTGCAAGAAGCAATACTCACAAAGACATATAACCTGATAGTGTGAAAAAGTGGGATAACCAAACAATATCTATTAGAAAAAATTAGAAAAAGGGAACATGCTTCAAAACACTTTTGGACTGCTAAGCCCTTACTTTAATTTTTAAATTTATAAGCATGTCATTATTAATATTTAGCAAATTGTTTAAATATTATTAGTGAAATTCTGTTATCATTAATTCTAATTACTTAAATTATGATCGGTTAATGATAACGGCACTCGCTAACTAAAGGAGTTATATTCATGATTCATATATTTACATAAATGAAAACTTTAGATATAAATAAATATGTCATGCCTTAAAATTTATATTTTCATGCGATAAATTTATTTTACCTCTTTTTTATTTTTTTGGTAATAGATAAGACTATGGTAAGAAAATTTTGAAGTATTATTAAATAAAAGGTAATATAAAAATTTTAGAAAAAGTAAATGCTATATAATCAAACTTCAAAATAAACCAAATATTTTGATACATAATTAAAATTAAGATTAATAAAATAATTTTGGAAAATGGAAGTATAAGAATCTACAAGGCTAGAATGAATGTCAAAAGCTATAATAATATTTTGTTGACTTGAAAATGAAAGTATAGGAAAAATGTTGCCTATATTTCCTAGAAATTAATTCTAAAAAAAATTATGATTTCATATTTAATTGTAATAAATAATAAAATTTAGAGGGTGTTGGAATCTAAAAGGTTCTGGTAATCAAATTTCCTTCTACTATTTTTGTACAACTTTGCCATATTTTGGTTTATCTCTAAGTTTTTTCTCACATAACACAATGGTCTAACTAAATATCTAACCTTATGGGAATTGCAAAATTGTGTTATTTGTAATCAAATGCCATTAAATCTTAAAAAGCTGTTCAATTTTAAACACCAATAAAACTTCTATACATGGTTGATATGGTTATTAGTTTATTTGAAAAGTTTATATAGAGTCCCTTACACGTGCATTAGTCTCTAATTTCATATTTTAAGAATGACATGGATTTAAACAAAATGATTTTCTTTGAATGAAATTCATTTTCTTTTAACAACATTTTGTAAATAAAACAAACTAAAATATAATACATAAAAAAAATTATTGTGTTTGATTGTGTTTAAAACGATGGTTAAAAACAAGGTGCGAATATGTATTGATTGTGTTTTCAACAAATCTACCAAACGCATAATAATCCAGGACGGCACACAAAAACAAAATAATCGGTATTGTAAATTTGTAAAGCACAAGCACTTGGTACACTGCTGGCACCCCAAATATATTTTGCAACGAAGAAAAAAAAAACTATACCAGACAAGTCAGAGAAAGAACAGAAATTAATTAGAAAAAAAGTCAGCTTACCTGAACCATTAAGGGATTTGGCCCCGTAGGAGAGATATACACTGCTGGGCCAGTGTTAACAACCGACTCAGCCTGTAAAAGCAAAAATAAATATTAATACATTTTCAAATCACAATTTTGAATTAGAAAAAAAACTCAGCTAACCTGAACCATTAAGGGACTTTTTTTTTTTTTTTCTTTTTTTTGTTAAGAAAATCGGTTTCACACAAATTCGACTTACTGTATAAACCAGGGTAAAAAACAACTTACAGATGATTGTCCCATACGGAGTGTCAAGATGGTACGGCCCAGTTCCAAAAGAAGCGCACCAAATTGTTGCATCCGAAGTCCTACTTGTACCGACTCTTCCTGAATTTGACCCCTCACAATGGGATCAGTGGACGAGCTATCTTGCTCCAAACGCTCCGCAATACGCTAAATATTTTTCACAAATGCATAGAGAATAAGATTCATGAGATGATTATAAGCATAGTTCAGCTGGTTGTACTGTAAAATGCATAGAGAATAAGATAAGTAATGGAAGGGAATGCAAAATTTACCCATCCCATATTCAAGCATTCAGAGCCGTATAACTGGGCATTTGTCATGCAATTCATTTTAGTCCCAGGGATGGGAAGTCTCAGAAACTCCAAAGGACAACGAATATTTGAATCTTTTCATAAATTTTTGTTATTATAAAATGCATATAGCTACTGCTTATAACTAAACGGTTCTTATTTTAAAATTTTAAAATTAAAATTAAAAATAAATAAATAAGAAGAACCCACGAGCACTCATCAAAAGATGAAAGCTCCATTTTCACCCTAAAAAGAATGAACCAAGAACATGGAGGGAAAATTGATAGAGATCCAAAACCACAGAAATTGCTATTCTTATTCTTATGTTTTAACAGAACATATAACCCGGACTCAATCGACAGATTTTGTACCATCTTTTGTTCATCTGGACTTACAATGAAGTTCTTGTACCACAATTGAGAACTATTTAGTCTTGACTTACTAACGTTCAAGCATTCTTTGTTAGGTTTCAGTTAATAATTAAAAAGAAGTTAAAATACATTTTTGGTCCTTGTACTTTCAATAAGTCTTGAGTTTAGTCCTTCGAAGTACTTTCAATAAGTCTTGAGTTTAGTCCTTCGAAGTTGACTTTTATGGAAATTGGTTAAACAAGAATAAGAATTTTCATGCAAGAACATACATAATGTGAATATATTTTCAAAGTTTATAAAAGGAATGCTAATTCAGACTATTTATTTTTTTAAAAAAAAAGAAAACAATGGGACTAAACTAAAGATTTATAGAATGCACAAGGACTAAATTTGAACATTTGAAAGCACAAGGACTAAAATGAAACAAAACCCAAAATACAAAGACCAAAAAGATATTTGAACTTTCAAAAAAAGATATAAAAGGTACTATTGATATACATTGGAGACATACGAATTAAAGAATTGGAGTTAATGCTTCCAAAAATCTACAAATCTTTGTAATAGAAAAATTATTGGCCTAACTTGCATTCCAAAAATCGAGCGCCCTTTTAATCATCTTATGGACAACATTACCCACTTATATTGTAAATTAATACCTATTTTTCATTCTTATATTGTTGAATCTAATTGTCTGATAGGAGAAGTCTTAGGGAAACTCCTTTGGATACAGCATTTCTTCCCTCTTTTGTAATTGATGTAAGTAAGTTCACATACCAATGAAATCGTTTCTTTTCTTTTAAATGACCTTTAACTTGCATGGCTAGGTTCATCTAACACTAAATACATATATGTTATAACAAGAGATCAAAACAAGCAAGGCTACAACTGTCAAGTCATTGTCAACATGTTCACATCCTCAACTTGCAGCAGTTGTCAATTTCAAGAAATGTAACCAGATATAATACTATGTAACCAAATATAATACTTACGGATAGTGAAGATATGGCATAATCACTTAGAAGCCGTTGAGCATGACGCAAGACAATGCTCAACGATTCAGTGGTTGGTAAACCTTGTGGATTGGTAGGCAGTGCCACCCTGGTTAGATCTCCTACGTTATTATAAATGTAAAAAAAAAAAAAAAAAAAAAAA